AATTTTTGACCCTTGAATTTTCCACGAAATATGTTTTGTTGGACCTTTTACCGTTCTGCATTGCACGTGAGAAATGGACTTGTGACTGAATTTGATGGCCTCAATTATTGCCATCTAGTTAACGTTGCTGGTCCTGTGTCAACCTTTTTATTATCACTTGCTTTGTTGTTTAATCATTTTGTCAATGATATCAATTATATGGCTCAATAAGGCATATGATTAATCCACCCTTTCCCTTATTTCTGTTTCCTTATTTCTGTTTGTGGTTATGTAGCAGGTGAAAATGAATGCTCTTCAATTATCCACAATACAACATAAAATTGTCACACACACATACACACGAGTTACTTCAACTAGAGAGAAAAAGCCATGTGAAAGTGTAACTCCACAACTGCATCGAGAAAAACAGTAACAAGATTACACAACAAAAATTTACAAAACTGCGCTTGAACGTAATTATTCCAACCAGTAACAGTCATTTTGTGTATCCATTCTTGAAAGCTTTATTGGGCCAATAAAGTGAGCCCAAAGCAAAGTAGCTTTCTTGCAGAAAAGGCTATCAAAGCCCATCTCTCTTGCGGGCTAATTCCCGGGCCATCTCTCTCATCTCCTCCGGGGATGGAGGACGTGGGGCTTCAGGCGGGTACACCACATATTGACGCTTCACAAAAAATGAGAATTTGCTTTAGAAGGCACAAACATATATGGGTTTTTGTACCAACTAAATGAAAGTACCACGTCAAAACATCTACCACCAAGCTCAACAGTAGTGCTTAATAAAAGTAACAAACACATCAACATATTCACAAGTGCAAGTAGATACCAAGTTTAACTAAGATACGTTTGCGTTAAATATAAAAAGGTTATTTTGCAGGCAGAAAGATTAATACAATAAATAATGCAAAATTAAGTGATCAATAATCAATAATCAACCACACAGTGTGTATGTGAATGGCTTAAGTTCATTTTATTTTGCATCATCCTCTGCATATGCAAATGACATTACTTTGCACCAAAAGATTGCCCTATGCACAAAATTCACTTACATCAGTTTTTGGAAGTGAAACTACTAAACAATGTTTTGGCTTTAAATAATGTGCAATAAATAATGTTTTGGCTTTAAATAATGTGAAACTACTATTCTCATCAGTTTTTTTCAATGAAAGATTCACTTTCAACATCAATTTCCTTCAACATTCTTCAACTTTCACTTCCACCACAACACACAAATGACATTTTCAACTTTCACTTCCCCCACAACACACAAATGACAAATAAAAAGAGAGTATTATCACATTATATATGAAGATATCCTCAAACACAAATTCTTGTGTGAGGCGGCCAATGGTTAAGTGTGGTCCCAATCACTTTTTTAAAGAAAATGCATACTTATGCTATGACATAAAATGTCATACTTACATTTTAGTTTGAAAGTATGTATATTTATATAGAAGTATGTCTGTTGGGTCACTAACAAAGCCTAACAACAGCTGATCCTTAGAACAAAAATGTATCTTCAACCCACAAAGTTTTCTCACAGACTTACTAATTATGCATTCACAAAACTGGTTGACCTAGAAATGCTTCCTCCCATATCAAGTGCAACCAACATCTCCACTTGTCCCCAACACTCAGCAAGATAAACTAGCTAATGTAAACTAAAATTAAACATATGTCGATAGCAAACTGAGAGGCATAACAGTATAAATTCTTACATTTCCCATGATTTTCTGGAGATTTTTGTTGTTGCTGGCGAAGAAGTACATCAGCCCAATCGGCACACTGACGTATACTGCGAATTTCGCGATTTCTAGAATTCCCTTTGATGTTCCCAAAGACGACATTTTTTCACACTGTTTACGTTTTTTGTTTTGCTGATTTCTTTCACGAATTAATTCGAGATCTATGGAGGGCTGTACAAAAGCAAAAACCTCTGATGGAAATGAAAGGATATGAATGTCGATACGTAGGAAGTTTTTCGTCATTCTAAATTTATGGGCCGATTGTAGATCCTTTTGATGGGCCTGCCTAGAGTGAATTGTAGCTCAATCAATCAGGCAATCCTTTTCATGGGCCTTCCCATATTGAGTATTTTGGTAGCCCAATCAATCAGGCCCATGACTCAAATGGGTCTCTTTAGGTGGTTATTTAATTTGCTTGCTTACTCCAATTTTGGATTTTTAGTTTGAACTTCGAATTATCCCCACCGTTGTCCGCCGTTCCGAACCAGGGTTCCGGCCGCGCTCTTCGCCCTCCGCCGTCTCGAGCATCACGTAAAAGCCACATCTTCGTTGTAGGTAAATTTCAGCTTTGCCTCCTTAGCTGAGAAGACGATTTGTGTTCCTCGTTTACTCGTCATCTTTTTTGCTTCAAATTCCACCATTTTTAGTCCACTGACGAGCTAATGTTCATATCTTTCTTATTTGTGAGACCTCTTTCGAATTCAGCTGATTTTTGAAAGAATTATAGTTATTCTTGAGTGTTATATTCACATGAATATTGGTTTAGACGTGTATGAAACTGTTTGTGAAAATGTTGAAGGGAAGAAGTGTAGGGTTTTTTTGGATTACTATTCAAATTGTCCCCTTTTCATTAATTCTTGGATCAATGCACCTGAAGAATCTGTGTAAAATCATAGTCTGACTAGAGGACTTTATATATCTGTCTTCTCTTTCAGAGAACTTTTACTTGATAGCAGCCATGGTTGATGCCTGGTGGACTCTTCTTGGTGCGGCAGTCCCGGTTTTCATTGCAGGTCAAGCCTTCAGAATGAAGGCAAGGCACGCCGAGGAGCAGAGGATCAAAACTGCCCGTGGCCGTGAAAAAAGCGCAGACGACATATTTGTGTGCGAGAGGGTCTGCACTTCTAAAAGGATGCTGAAGAAAGTTGGAGCCTTTTCAAAGGATCCCATTCCCGACACTTGTGTTACTGTTTGTGGGGTTTCGGAACTTGATGCTTGTGCAGATGCTTGCGCTAGGACAGTGTGCGTGAACCAGCATCAAGTCCCCAACTGGAATGATGTTTGTCTCAGGAGGTGCCAGAGTGAATGTCTTAAACTATCTGCATCTCGTTCTTCGTGAGATGCGTTTTCATGGGTTTACTCTTTTTTTTTTTCTTTTCTTTTTTTTCTAAAGATGAATTTGCACCATGGGTACTGTTGGATCCTCTGCTAGTTTCTATTCGGTGATAATCAATGGCTTCTTAGATGTGTAGAGCAATCGTTGATTCGAATGCTTTTTATCTCTTTGATATGGCCAAATGCGGTGTTTGGTGGTGGAACGATTTGTTAAATGTTAGGCTGTTTTGGGAAAAAAACTGAGCTGCTGGTGTAAATTCTGTTGTATTTTCTTGATTGTTTTGATATCTGGGTTGTTGTCACTTTGTATTTGTTGTTCCTTTTTGCTGCAATTTCGTTAGGTTTTGATTTAGAACCTCAAGTTTCAGAAATTACAAAATGTACCAGATTTTATTCATGACTCCTCCACTTTTGATGATCGTAATGCATGTTGAGGCTTATTCCATAAGATTTGGTATAAATTTTGACATTGTATTTAGTTACTTTAAGTGGTTATGAGGACATAGGTGAGAATTTTATAGGCTATATTGGTATTCACGGCCAAATCAACAGAGATTTTACGTCGTCCAAATAAACCACGAGTGAACGGCTTCTTGTGGCACAGCTTTTACTGATCCAAATAGCTCCATCTATAAATAAATACACAACAGCTTTTTCTCGTATAAATGCTTCATTTCTTATCGATGACAGATGCAAGAGTCGAGGCCCATGCTCGCACACCACTTTCACCATCTTTCTTCCTCTTCACTTCAAGCTTGTCAATGGCATTCTTCGAAACTCCACATTTCAGAAGAATATTCCTGAGTGATTTAAAAGTGGAGTCATCAGGCCCGATATTGGATTTAAGCATCTCGCCAAAAGTGGCTACTGCCTCTTTATACCTAGCATCGGATGCATATAGCCCGAGCACAAGATTATAGCTCAACAAATCCTTCATAAGTCCTAACTCTCTCATACTTCTCGCTATCCGAAAGGCCTCCACAAACCTCCCGTTCCTCTTGTACATGGAAAGCATCATGGCATGCGCGAACTCATTCGCGTACCCATTTTTCTTAAGATTCTCAAAAATCAATTCGGCTTCCGACACCATCGACCGCTCGCTGTACAAATCGATCATACAATTCGAAGAGTACAAATCGAGACCCGGTTCAAACGACTGAAGCATCTTATATAATTCTTGGGCTTCTTTCAAATATCCCACTTTCGTATAGAGCTTGATTAACGACTTGCATAGGACGGAATTCATGGGCAAGCCCAGTTCTCTCATGGTATTAACATAATTTTTTGCATCGTTTACACTTCCGGTTTCAGCAAAAGCATTTATGAGCACACCAAATACAATGACATCTGGCTTTACCCCATAACCTATCATCTCCTCATATAGCTTAACCGCGATATCCACCCAACCCAATTTCACGTAGCTGGAAATAACAGCACAGTAAAGACTGCAGTCGTCATTCACCAACCCAACCTCCTGCATTTTCCTAAGATAAAATACTGCCTTTTCTGGCAAATCTGCGCTGGCTAACATTTGAACAAGTGAATTATATCCACATCTATCGGGGACCAAACCATTTTTCTCCACACTATCAAATAAGCTGCATGCCTGCTCAAATTTCTTGCTGATGCCGTAAGCCTTGACCATAACGTTAAATTCCAGAATGGTCAATTTCTTAACTTGTCGGCAACAGTCAAAAACTCTCTCCGCGTGTGAAATATATCCTCTCTCCCCAAAAGCATCAATGTTTGCTGAGTAGCACTCGGGCGTCATTTTCCCTCCAAGATGAAATCTCTCAAACCAAGACCACGCCTTTTCCGGCAAACCAGCTTCAATGTACATTCTAGTCAAAGACGACTGAGTAAATTCGTCAATCTCCAAGTTCCACTCGTCCATCTCGAAAACCAACTTCTCAGCTTCAGCAACCATACGCCTTCTTGAGAAGGCATACACAAGAGTTCGGTAACTCACGGAATCCGGTTCAAGTGAAGCTTCCTTCATCTTGTTCAAGTACCCTGCTGCCAACTCTATATTATTGTGTTTAGCGTGCAGGAATATGAGAATATTGTACGTTCGTGTATCTGGCAAGCAATTAACCTCCTTCATCCTTTGCATCACCAAATCAACTTTATCCAGCTGCCCATTATTACCGTACATGTGCATCATAGTATTAAACGTCACAGTAGTCGGCATTATACCTATTCTAAGCATCTTTCCAAAAGTCTGGTCCGCCTCTTGAAGCTTGCCGGCTTTACCATACGTGTCGATCAGGGTATTATACGTGTACGCACTCCTTGACATAGCAGTCTCATGTTTGCTACACGACCATTTTTTGAAAAAATCCTCGGCTGTCTTAAAATCCCCTGCCTTTTTATACATCTGGACCACAGCCCCAACAGTGACCTCATCCGGGTCAAGATTTTCTTCACTCATCAACTCCAACCACGTTATAGCTTTCTCCCTCAGCCCCCCTTTACTGTACACATCGATCAAAGTCCCGTACGTCGAGTTCACTGGCTTAATTCCTCTCTTCCACATATCGCCCCACAGCCGCTCGAGCTCTGGCCAACGCTGGGCCATCCCTAGAATCTTAAACATGATGTTGTAGTGAATCACGTTCACCTCGTAGCACGATTTCCTCCTGAACCACTCGAAAATCTCCACAGCCCTTTCCCACTTGGGCTGCTCCTTCAACAGTATGCTCCGTTCTTTGTTCGTTAAGGTGGTCTCCCATGGCTTCAAGGCTGCGTCCAGGTCTCTAATGGTCGCTACTGCCTCCAGCATAGCCGGAACACAACCACCGTAGGCTGCCCATTTTGTCGAGCACTTGGTGTGCATACTCTTATTTTTGCCGTAATACTGATCTCCGGCCCCAATTTGTTGCAAACATCCATTTGGCTTCACTTCTCTGTAGCCTAGGGTTTCGGATAAACAGTCTCTGTCCACGTTTTCTTTCTGGATGACCGCATTTCCGCCATTGAAGGTGCCATCTCGAGGTCTGGAAGTGCCGCGAAGCTCGATTTTTTCCCCAGTTATTCGAAGAGGGCCAGCGAGAAGGCCGTTTTTGTTCCCTCCATTGGGGCAGTGGAGGACGTGTTTGCGCTGCTGCTTGTGTTTGACGGCGGCGTGGTTGGATTTGTTGATGGGTGGAGCGACTGCAAGACCCAAATTTGGAGGTTTAGTCTTCGTGGAGTTGAATAAGCTCAGGCAATTGGTGTCGGAAGGCTGAAGGTTTGCAAACATGTCTTAGTTGACGATGGCGACAGAAGGAAGCCTTGTAACGGAGAGTGATATATTTCGCAACTGATGAGTCGCGAAGAAAAGGGAAGAGTGGAAACTTCCAGTGTACTACATCCGCTGTTTCATAAAAAATTAATTGTTCGATCAACAAAAGGTGAAAAAAAATAAAATTCTTATTATCAATTAAAACACTATAAATAATTAATAAAAAATATTTATTTTATATTATTTTGAATTCTATAAAATATTTTTATAAAATATTATTTATTTTATTTAATATATATTTATTATTATTAAAATTAAATAGATTAAGTAATATATTCGACAGTTAATAACGCCCTGAATATCAAAGATGCTTGAAAGTTAAATATTTGTATCAAAATAATGAAGTGAAAACATATATATTCTTAGAATGATAATAAATTAAATATACAACTAATAACTTAAAAAATAACAAAAATAATTATTTAAAATAATATTTTTACTTTATACTCAAATTGTTAAAATGATAATTTTTTTAACCACACACACATCCACACACACACACATATATATATATATATATTTAATTTTGAATTTTTTTTCAAGTTTGATTATATTGTAATTATACTTTATATTTATACAATTTTTCTCTCTGATTTAATATTTTTTAAAATATCTTCAACATTATGATGTTCAACAATTTTAAATATAATATGTATGAGGGTAATATTTTAAAATTTACGACATAAAGAAATTATTTTTATAATTTTAATTATAATGTTTATTTACTTTTTTTTTATAATTTTATGTGAAGTCTTTATTTAAGTCGAGACATAAACTTTTAAAATATTTTTTAATACTAATTTGATGTTCATACTTAGTTTATTTATTTTCTTCTAAATANTTTGATATAATCTAGCACTATTAATAATTTTAGATTTTATTTATAAGACTATATATAATTGTTATAATTGTTTTATATTTTGTATATATAATATGGATTTCAAATCGAAGATTGTTAAAAGATAAATAATTTGATATATCATGTATAAAAATAAAATACAACCCACAAAAGTTATAAGAAAATTATTTTAAGTTTCTTTTTCCTATATTATCATATTAAATTTCATACATCAATTATTATAAATATTTGTTCTTCTTATTTTTAAAACTTTATAACTTTTTTGGGTTGTATTTTATTTTTATATATGATATATCAAATTATTTATCTTTTAACAACTCATATTCTTCCTACTCATGTTTTTTTTAGGATTAATACATATTATTTTTGGAAAATTCCTACTACACAATCGTATGAAATTTTGTTGTCTTTTTCATATATCTAAAGTTTGTGAAGAATCTAATTTATATGGACTGTTTAAATCATTTTGTCATAAAGTGTTGGAAAATCTCGATCTACACAATCGTATGAAATTTAGTTAATTTTCCAAAAAAATCACATGCAATTAGTTGTCTGAATTTATCTAACTACAATACCTTTTTAAAATTTGAATTCTCTCCATTATTTTTGTTACATTAAAAATCATAAATAGTTAATTGATTTCAAATAAATCAAACGCAATATTTTCAGTTAAATATCTCCTATCATAAAATTCAATACTCTTAAAAAACCTCTACAAAAATATTAAATAAATATAATTTAATTTTAATCCAACCAATGATATATAAGCCGTAAACATGAGTAGGACAAGTGGAAGAATAGAAAATATAGCATGTCATTTTAAATTTCTAAATACATAGTCCCATGCTGGGAATTGGTTAAAGCACCAAAAACTTGTGATTTATCTACATAAACAAGAACAGGGGATACAATGTTCACAACCCAAACAACCTCCATCGTCAACACCAAAAATACCAAGACTGATTGGTTTATACAAACTAAGTTGCTATCCGCACTAGTAATGAAAATGGGTACCAGCAGAAACCGGGTAGTAATTAGTACGAGTTTTGCGATATTAGTCGTGGCCATCACAGTTGCTGGTGCCGATCAAATTCAGCCCTTGGATGAGTCGATGGCGTCATTGCCTTGGGGCGCAATGTTCGTTTTGGGAGACTCGTCAGTCGACTGTGGGGACAACACTCCATTCTATCTTCTTCTTCACCGTAACCAATCCCTATTCCCGTGCAACGGCTCTGACGACACCCTAATCCCCCAGCTTCTTGGTAAACACACATACACACTCTATCTCTTTATCATTAATGTACATTTTTAGTTAAGGAGATATGTGAGGATAGATTATCTTTAATTTAATTATATAATGACAACTGTACACATTTAATTTATATATGTTGTCCATAAAATAATTTTGACAGATAGAATATTCTTTTAATGAAATGCAAACTAGCTCTGCTGAGAATTGCTGCCTAAAGTCATTTATGTTGTAGTGAGCTTAAACTAGGTAACAAATAACTTCACAATGAGAGAATAAATAATTTTGGCAGCAAAGAAGATGGGGCTGGCTGGCACAGTACCCTTCTACAGCCAAAACGGGTCGATCCAAGTGATCCTGGGCGGGTTGAACTTCGGGTCGGCCCAGGCAACAATACTCTACCCAAGCAGCCGAAGCTTCCAATCCCTCAACCAGCAACTCCGCCAGGCTTCCGAGACAATCCAACTTCTCCACCTCAACCTCGGCCAGGACAAAGCCACTCCTTTCATCCGCTCTTCCGTTTTCTACCTCTCATTCGGAAAAGATGACATCATCCACCACCTCATCGCTAGCCCGCCCGTTAATCAGAACTTGAGCCGCATTCTGGTCCATCAGATGATGAATGCAGTTAGGAATCTGTACGCGAACAATGCGAGGAGGATCGTGTGCGCGGGGGTTCTTCCGCTGGGGTGTGGTCCACGCTGGCGTTCGGTGGGCAGCACAGCGGAGGATTCGTGCTCGGACGAGGTCAACAATTTGGTGTCGGAATTCAATGGGCTGATGGAAGAGAGTGTTGTTGGGATGAGAGGGGAGTTGGGTGATGCGCGTGTGACCTTCTGTGATGTGTACCGGGCCATGATGGAGGTCATCAAGAATCCGTCTGGCTACGGTATTAATAATTTATTTTATTTTATTTTTTTATATTATATGTATGCATATTTTATTTTATTTTATTTGTTCTTGTGTTGTGCAGGGATAGTGGATGTGAAAAATGCGTGTTGCGGGCGGGAGAGTGGTTGTGTTTCGGAAGATATGGCCTGCAAAGACCCTTGGGCCCACGTATGGTGGGACTTGTATAATCCAACCCCGGTAATTAACTCGCTCTTGGCTAGTTCAGCTTGGTCTGGTCAGCCTCTGCCTTCTGTTTGCCGTCCAATAACCGTGCTGCAAATGATCTCATCGTGAAATAAGAGGGTTTGCCTTTGCAGCTGTCTCTGTTTTCAAGTTTTCAGATATGTGTAATAGTACTACTTATATGGTCACAAACTGAGAATGCTTGTTTTAAATTCAATAAACAAGGAGAAAGTAGAATGGGTTTTTTATATGTATGCATCTCAGTGTATAAGCATGACCTAAGTCCTAACTACTTGAGAGTCACACTACTAGAGTGAGCATTTTCATATCTAACTTGCTTATCTGCATGCAAATTGAGCTTCACCTACAAAAACAAGTGACAACTATCTAACAACTTTATACCAAATGAGTACTTTATGTAGCTCAGACATCTAGAACACATTCCTCATCCTTGCATAAAACATCTAAACACTTCAATCTCGTACATGGCTCGTTATGTCCAAGAACTCCATTTTCCTAAATTAGATATTCCTATAAGAATAGACAAAATAGAGCTTGTCTTGCCTGATTCCGATAACATCCCACCAGACAATGGCCAAGATTGCCTTTACCTATCCAATCTTGATGACATGGTCGGTGTGCGTGCTTTTACCCCAACAATATATTTTTACGAGTCAAAAGATAGCGACGAAAAACCCATTTTCCAAACACTTAAAGACGCCCTTCGTAAAGTTTTGGTACCTTACTATCCTTTCTCGGGCCGACTGAGAGAGGCGAAAAACGGAAAGCTCGAGGTGTTCTTCGGACCGAATCAAGGTGCTCTTCTGGTCGAGGCCTTTTCAGATATTGTCTTAGCAGATCTCGGAGATTTATCCGTCCCAAATCCCGCATGGATAAAGTTGATCCACATGTTTCCCGATGAAGAACCGTACAAAGTCGTGGACATGCCATTGATTATAGCCCAAGTCACTAGATTCACGTGTGGCGGTTTTAGCCTCGGATTGAGGATGTGCCATTGTATATGTGATGGGTTTGGGGCAATGCAGTTTCTTAGTGCGTGGGCCCGCACTGCGAAAGCCGGTTCATTGGTTTTGAATCCTAAGCCCTGTTGGGACCGAGAATTCTTCCTGCCTCGTGATCCTCCAAAGATTGAGTTCCCACACATCGAGTTCAAGAAAATCGAAAATGGTTCAAACCTAATCCAACGGCTCTTTGGTCAGGGTAAGCTCGTCCAGAAATGCTACAAGATAAGCCGCGAATACCAAGCCCATTTGAAGGTATAGGTTATGTTACTTCTATACTCTATATGATAGGAAAAATTTCAATTTTGGTCCGTTTACTTGTTTAAAGTTCATTTTTGGTACACTAACTTACTTCTTATCAAATATAGTAAGTTATGTTGCAATTGTATCATTCTAGGATATTACTAATCGAAAACAGTACGTTATGTTGCAATTTGTATTATTTTTAGGACATTAATCCCAAAAATTAATGAACCATTTATGGGATAATGTCCCAATAGTGATACAAGTTGCAACATAACATACTATTTTTGATGTGGAAAAAGTTAGTGTATCAAAAAACAACTTTAGATAAGTAAACTCACCAAAATTGAATTTTTTTTTCGCTCTCTTATGCAGAAAAACTCGTCCAACCTTTCTAGTAACGGCATATTTTTCTTTTTTATTCAAAAGTACCGCCAAAGATTATATTTTAAAAAATAACCATTTTTTTCCCAACCAAAAAGGCACTAGCACAAGAAGGCGGGAAATCCAAATTCCCGTGCACGACCTTTGATGCTATGGCGGCCCACGTGTGGCGATCATGGGTGAAGGCGCTCGACGTTAGACCGCTCGACTGTCGTCTCCGTTTGACCTTTTCGGTCAACGCCCGCGCGAAGCTCATGAACCCACCTCTCAAAGATGGGTTCTACGGGAACGCATTGTGCGTTGCTTGTGCCGTGAGCACTGTGGACGGGCTCACGAGCGGGCCTCTTACGGGCCCAGCTTACCTGGTGCACGAGGCCCGAATAGCAGTGTCAGAAGATTACGTGAGGTCAACGGTTGACTACATTGACCGACACAGGCCCGAGAGGTTGGAGTTTGACGGGAAGTTGACTGTAACCCAGTGGACCCGTTTTTCGATCTACGAGTTGGCCGATTTTGGTTGGGGGAAGCCTTTGTACGCGGGCCCCATTGACCTGACCCCGACTCCACAAGTGTGCCTTTTTCTGCCAGGTGTCGGGGAGGGTGAGTCCGGTGGTGGGGCCATGGTGCTTTGCATATGTTTGCCGGAATCCGCCTGCCGGAGATTCGGGGAATTGTTGATGAATCACGAGCTTAAGTGACAAAATATAGGAAAAGTTGAGGTTTGAAAAGGGGAAGTCATGCTACAATGATGTCGTTAATAGGATAATGGAGTGGTTTGTGAAGTGAAGTGAAATATAGCTAGCCAGATGTGTGTTAAAATGATTCTTTTTTTGTTTCTTGAGTTTGATTTGTCCTTGGAAATATGGAATGTTATTTTAAAGAATGTGTTCACTTAAAGGCATTGTTACTATACTTTTTGTTATTAGAATTAAAGCATTTCTCAAGTTTATCTAGTTCAAAGAAATATAAATAGTCGAATGTTTTGTGCATTTTACACACAATAAGTAAAAAATAAAAGAGGATCAACAATCACAATAATTTGTATTTAACAAAATTACAATTTGTGCCTTATAACTTGTCGCGTTTAGCAAATGTGGATAACCTTTTTTTTTTTGGGAAAATAAAACAATAACTTGTTAAAAAGTGGAATTCGTGCTCGATTTACCTACAACTTACTGAAATTCACTGATTTTTGCTGCTCACCGTGGTTTATCCTACATGGATGCACGCGTGTAACCAAAGCGTCACATTTATCCAAACCTAAATCAACTCAAAAGTGTTTGCATTTATATTTACGTGTATGATATTGCAATTTTTTTTCTGTTAATATAGTGTGACATCGTTGAACATAAGATTATATTGATGGTTCCAACAACGAAGTTCCGGCTAATTAAAAGTATTTTAGTTAGATTTAACTAGTGCGTAGCCCGTGCGATGCACGAGTAAACAATATTAAATAATAATTATAAATTAAAAATGAGGGTAAACAATATTAACTAATAATTATAAATTAAATATGACAGAAAAAAATATTAATTAATAATTATAAATTAAGATGTGGAGTTAATATGAGACATAATTTATCGTATATAAAATTACATGAAAAATGTATGTTTTAAATATTAAAAACACCTAAAATACTATATAACATATGTAATGTGTCTAAAATTTTATATATCATTATTGAAAAATGTGAAATCACCTAAAAAATTTTTTATCTATTTTGTAAAGAAGATCGGAGGTTGGCTGCAGCACCGGCTAGATTTGCCTCTGATTTTTACTGAAATTTGTTTGTTAATTTGTAACTGATGGTAGATGAATTTGTGTGCGAGTTTTGTTGCTGAATTGTAATTTGATCATCAAATTGTTGCTAAGTAAGCCTGTTACTATTT